GTTACGATCGTTATGGTAAACTCATGTCGGGTGCTTTTGCGACTTCGGGAACTTTACCAACTACAATAGCCAAAGACACAAAGTCTGGATCTTCAAGTAAAGCTCAACGCGCAGCCGCAATTGCAAGTATGGCAGCTACACAGCTTACTCCTGCAATACTGGACGCACGTATTGGTTTGCCATCGAATGAGCTACTTATTGAATTTCCACATCGTCACTCACTTCCTGGATTACCGCCACCCTCTATCACAGTAGATATGACATCTGCTCACAGGAAGGCGCAAGCTTTGGCTAATTCTGCAGCTGGGAAGCACAGTTATGTAGGGGTAGATGAATTGAAGTCGATCAAAACTTCTTTTGATGCGATTATTCAGTGCATGAAGCACAAAACGTCACCACCTCCCATTCCAATTCCTGCAGGGGTAGTAGTTACTCCATTTGAATCGACAGCAACATCGAGTGGATCCACATCGTCAACTCAAGAAACGAAAGCTTCTCTTACAGCAGCATCATTTCATCCGACTCAGTCTCCACTACTCGCTTCAAAATCTCCTCCAGTTGCAATCACCCCAACAAAAGGTTACACCAAAGTTTCGATTAATGCTTCAGGATCTCCAACAACAACAGCAAAAGCGATGCCTTTAGTGGTCCCGCCGCCGCACAAATCACATACTGATATGATTTCACTATTGCCAATGGCTGTTTTGGGTCCAGATGAAGTAATTAAACGTAGTAAAGAGGCTGCAGTGGTGGCTGTACAAACGGCAGCTGCTGTAGCATCTGTTGGTCGTGATGGTTCACCACTCTCAGCTAGTGGTGATGTCATGTTGGGTGCTGGGTCGGGCTTTGACGCGTCAGTGAATGGCTCAATGCCACGACGTTCACATGCTGCAAGTCTCACAACTGATTTAAATTCTGTTGCTGCAATTCCTCCTTCGTCCATTCCGGTCACGGTTTCAACTACAGGAACTTCTGTTTCAACGTCTGGAGCTTCGCCATCGCTCGCGACCACAGCAACATGGGGCGGAAATGTCGGGCAAGCAAA